GAAGGGGGACGGGTTGGCAATAAACTTTGGCGCGAGGAGTGTGGCGCACATGTGCACAGGATATGCATTTGGAAAGAGCGAGGAACTCTCCGAGTCGTGGAGGAGAAAAATTGTTCCTTTCCTTCGCTTTACGCGTGTTAAATCAGGAAAATTTGTCAAGAAAAAAAGAAAAAATATATATATATGTATATGTATGTATGTATAAAACGTTCTCGTTTTAAAATAATCTCGTTGACGTGTTTCACAATTTTCAATTATTTTCGTGTAGTTAACGCGCGATGGATACCCGATTAATTTTTGTTGTAAAATGTCCATAAAATAAAATGAATTTAATATTAATACGCGGACACGCGGGCTACGGTGAATTTTCACTACGGGACGTGTGTGTATATATGTTATATATATATATATATGTATATATATTTTCGCTAGTAAATCTGGCATAGAATATTTCATAAATTCGTGGAATTCCCGTGTTGATGCTTGGATGTTTGACAATTTTTATATCGTTTTTCCGGCCGCTGTTTAATCTCTTTTGTTATAATGCTTTTTATTATTGTGTAAATATTAGGCGAAAAATATTTGGGGAATATATTAACCGTTGTAACATTTGTGAAGTGAATTAATAAGATAAAAAGATCCCATATTTGTTTTGATTTTTATTTTGAATATAATCTAACGATTCATTGATAAAAATTTTTAACGAAAACTCGTGATTTATATTAATGATCATTAATTTATTAACAATTATTTATATATAACAAAAGAACTATTTATCCTTTCCATCAGCTATAATATATTATATATTATATATTATATATATATAGCTATAAATATTGTTAACCTTAAATTAGGGCTACATCCAAAATACCCAGGAAAAAAATTCCCTCGAAAACACATTCTTCCAACAACGTTACTATCCACTCTCTCGAGTTTTCTCAACAACAAGAATTACCTAAGGCCCGCGCTAATAATCGTTTATNATATATAGGGGGAGCGATCGGATGAAATTAATTAATCGATGCGTAAACAAGCGTGCCAACCGTATGGCGTCAATTTATGAGACTTCTTTTGCATATATTCTATGATTTAATTGCATATATTCTAGCTATGATTTTTCGTTTCTTTTTTATGGATATATATATATATTATTACTGTGTAAGATAATATTATTCAAAATTAAGCGCAATTACGATACGTAATCCATCACATGATGTATCTGCACGGTTTGAAGTTATCAATGTATACATCTTGCGCGAGGGAACATTATTTATTCAAAAGAACATCCACGCGTTTCAACAATGAATTTCATGAATGAAATTTTTTACGTATATCTGGAAACTCGAATTGTATCGAATATCCTCTAGTATAAAAATAATCACTTGAAATAATCACTCGAATTGGAGAAAAAAATGTTCGATAAAATCACCAACCAAAAGGATACACACAGAGTGGAATTATTGATACGCATATGCACCAAATTAAAGATATGCGCGATGAACGGAAGCAGTTTTTGGAGTTACTTCACTCCACTCGATCGAGATGAGAATTTCGATGCAAATCCACGCGCTGCTCTAAGCTCGCCACGATTTAATAAGTCGAGGCCTCGCTCGCACTGCGGAAAAGGTCAACGGTCCCGGGACGATCGAGATCATCTCTTCCCCGCGAGTCGGCCACCGAAGAACGAAGAATTAACTCTTTCATGGCCGACGCGAGGTTCGCGCGGCCTGCTCAGACCGCTCTTTGCCGAAGTATTAATTAACCGCGCGGCTCTCGGCCGCTCGACTGATTTATCACTACCGTTCACCGCTAGCCCCTGTCGTCGCGTTGCTTTCGTTGCGGATTCGGTCGTTACGACGTCGCCGTTTTCGCGGGTGTCGATGGACTTTCCCCGATTTTCCTAATTTCTTCCTTGGAAAGGAAGCTCGATAATTTGAAACAATTTGGAGCAATTTCGAAACGTTAATTAATATTATCGCGTGATGTACGAATTATCGAGTTTATATAAATGTGAGTAAGTAGTAAGAACGATGCAAATTTTCTCTACTTTACGTCAAGATCAAACTAATATCCATTTACTACACCATCTTTATTACCATCAGGGTGTCCAATTCTTATCGTCCAACTCCGAGTCTTTCGCTCGAAGCCCACCCCTTTCTCATAGATCGACGCTCGGTCGGTAAAGAAGCCTCGTTCGCGATCTATCGTGGCCGACTTAATAGCGGCCGCTACCCTAACCGGATGATTCTCTCTCTCTCTCTCTCTCCATAAAATAATGGCGTTGCCGATCACCTAAAGATACTCGTCGCTGCCCCTGATAACATCTCTAGGCCCCCTGAAAGGAAGGGGAAGGAAGGGGTCCCTAACTCCTCGAAGGGGGCACGAGGAGCCAGAGACGAGAGAGAGACGATAGTTATCAGTTCGAATCCTGAAAGCAGGTTTCTACCTCTCGAAACGATCGAGTTTCGCGGAACGGGGACCGAATCTCTCTCTCTCTCTCTCTCTCTCTCCCTCCCTCTCTTTTTCTCTCTCTTTCTTTCTCGCTCGGGGGATCCGCCTTGAGCGGATCGGGACCGAGGCCCCGCTCTCGGGCCCAGAAAGATGATCGGTATCACTTGGCGGGAGTCCTTCGTGGCGGATTCTTGTTGTTCCACGCGATCCAGTTTCGCGGAACGGATAAACTCGAAAGGTTTCTCCTGTATCGAGACCGTTTCTTCGGTCTATGGTCTTAAGAGCGGAGCTAAGGGTTACTTCTTAGGCAATTAGGTGGTGAATGGTTGTTAAATTTAATTTACCTTCTCTCTCTTTTTCCTTGAAGTTGCTCGAGGAATACATTTGACACATTCGAATGATCAACAGTATTGTAATTTATAATGTAATTTAAACAATTTATTAGTAAATCTTGATATATATTCAATAAATTTTAAAATAATTAAATTTGAATAATAGTAATGGATGTTTATATATAATTTCTCGATTCGCAATATTTACGTATCTCATAGTATTGTAATATATAATGTAATTTAAACAATTTATTAGTAAATCTGGATATATATTCAATTTAAATTCGAATAATAGTACATGGTTTTAGGATGTGTATATATAATTTCTCGATTCGCAGTATTTACGTATCTCACAGTATTGTAATATATAATGTAATTTAAACATTAATTAAATTTATTAGTAAATCTGGATATATATTCAATTTAAATTCGAATAGTAGTACATGGTTTTATATTTGGATGTTTAAATATAATTTCTCGATTCGTCGCAGTATTTACGTATCTCACAGTCACAATGTGTGAATATGTTAAATCATCCTACTTATACATATAGTCTTTTGTTTCTCACGCGATCGTCAATTAATGATTGTCGACAGTCAATTGTTGTCAACTACGTCACACGCCAAGAAGATTAATCGCGTTTAAATTAAAATTGCGCGCGAATTCACGCTTGTAACGGGAAAAAACGAAGCCCTGTTTATCAAGTTACAAGCGTTTCGTTCCTCGCGATCTCTTGAGACGGGGTTGAAGAGCGGCACGAGACGATGGAGACTGGATTCGGCCCCGATTTCGTATCGATGTCCTCCCTCCCCACCTCCTCTCGAACGAGTTCTCCCGGGTGGTGGATTTTAACTAAGCGGGCGCGAATTAAATCCATTAAACGAAACTGGTTTAATGTAAACCAGCGTGGAGCA